CATCCATCCATCCATCCATCCATCCATCCATCCATCCATCCATCCATCCATCCATCCATCCACCCATCCATCATCCATCCATCCATCATCCATCCATCCATCGACCCACCCATCCATCCATCCATCCATCCATCCATCCATCCATCCATCCATCCATCCATCCATCCATCCATCCATCCACCACCCATCCATCCATCCATCCATCCATCCATCATCATCCATCCATCCATCCATCCATCCACCCATCCATCCATCCATCATCCATCATCCATCCATCGACCACCCATCCATCCATCCATCCATCCATCCATCCATCCATCCATCCATCCATCCATCCATCCATCCATCCATCCATCCATCCATCCATCCATCCATCCATCCACCCATCCATCCATCATCATCCATCCATCCATCCATCCATCCATCCATCCATCCATCCATCTGGACACCAGTTGTAGTTCAGCAACAACAAAGTTGAGCTAGCTCAAATTTTTAAAGTTAAAAATAAATGAAGTGATCGGCATGTTCTAATGTCTTTCCCATTTTGAAGAATCATTCAGAGAAATCAGCTTATAAATACTCAAGTCAACTGTAAAAAGTGATTTTAAAATGTTAAAAATCCTCCAGTGACATTCATTTTTACCTCTGAATTGTTTGTTAGTTTTTCTGCGCTGACAGATCGTACCTACTTCGCCTCCAGCGCCGCAGCGCAGCGGGACTCTGCAGGAGGATGAACTGACTGAATATCGATCTGAGAGCCAGTCGCCGGCGCTTTCACTCCCATGCAGGAAGAGTGTGATGTGAAATGTCAGAGAAATGTCAAAGCCTTCTGGGCCCAGATTAAAGTGGGGCTCTGGGAGGGTCAGCCAGGAGTCGGCCATTACTGTTACACTTCATCTGTAGCGTGTGAGAGTCTGCTGAGGCGGAAAAGGCCAGCATTTGGATGTTTGGCACTTATCTCTCCTCAAGTCAGCCAACAAACATTCATTTATAAAAACATGTAATTTATGCTGAATTACAGCCTGTTGGGTTCTGGTTTAGTAACTGACCACAGATCAGCCTTGCAGTAAACCAACCAACCAACCAACCAACCAACCAACCAACCCAACCAACCAACCAACCAACCACACCATCCATCATCAAACCAACCAATTAACTATCAATAACCCAAACAACCAACCATCTGATTAACCAATGATCCACCACTGATAACAAATTTTGATTATTGGCAAAATGAACTAAAATATTTTAAAAACTCAAAGAAGAAAAATGTTCTCCGTCAATCTCTTTATGCTGCAGAAAACTGCAAAACAGCCGAAACACAGATTTCTTTTAAATGAAGGCTAAAGCCACCAGTTCAGACTTTAATTTACAATAACTGGAACAATATTTCTGGTCTGGATCGTAAAGTTTTTATCACTTCTTTCTATTCTGTTACTGTAATGTAATGTTTCTTTTGTTCTTCTTCCTTATTGTTTATGTTTCATTGCATAAAGTCCTTTGAACTGCTAATATGACCTGTGCAAATGAGCTTCACTTAATTAAGTAAAACTGACTTTCTCACATATTATAAAACGTTCCTTGAGGAAACAAATCTGTAAAAACAATGTTCACATATTTTCTAAGACCGAATGCTTTATTTGATTTTCTGTTTTCATCTTGTTCGACTGGAGCTTCTAAAATGTGTTTCCTATTCTTCTTGCTTCATTTTAAGCAAATATTTAAAGCTTGTTTCTGCACATAAGACAGTAAATCCAATTTGAAATCCTTAATGATTGAAAAAGGAAAACATTCATTATTAACCTCAGAAGTGAGTTAATTACTAAACGCTTTGAAGCCAGAGAAGGAAACTTAAAAGACGAATAATCCCATTCAGACCCAGTTTGGATTCTCTGAAAACCAGCATGCAGGTCTGTGGACTGTGGGAGGAATCTGGAAAAAACCAGTAAGATACTGGGAGGCAAACCAGCTCCAATCAGGAGATCATGAACCATGCAAGCAATTAAAATATAGTCATTAATTATGATCAAAATAATCAAACCTCTGATGTTCTTATTGCATTTGTTGCTTCTTCTTACATTTTTTGGGAAAAATGTGTAAAAATGTTGAGATTTTCTGTGTGCAGCACTTTGGGAGAAGCTCCGTTAAAGCACCTGACTCTGATTTATGGAAGCAGGGTGAGCAATAAGTCAACTGAGTAAAGGCCAATAAAAAATTAATAACTGGCTCCACATTAAAAAGCCAGCAGCAGATGATCTGGTGAAGATCCACATTTTTAACTTTTTTTGGATGGTTTTACCTCCTGGTCTGTTTACAGAAAAACAGCAGAAGTGATGAGCCTGCTTAGCTTTTTTTTAATCATCTCTCCACATTTTCACCCAGAGAAGATAAAATATTCTGCAGCCAGACGACTTCGTCAGGCTGAAAGGGAATTAGAGATAAATCACCCAGCCTCCTGCTGGGTGGATGTGGGATTCCTGGGAAGATATCGCAGCATCTCCTCTGTGACCGGAGTAACAATAGACTGCAAACTCCCCTGGAATCCACAACCAGATCTGGATTCCTCAGAGTCTCCAGACTCATTACGGCAGCACAGATTAGTCTGATCAAAATGTTTAATTCCTTCACATTCATCCCTAATCTCATTGTTTTTATGCGCATCTTCGTTCTGCTGGTCTGGTCAGCGTCTGAGGCGTCGTCGGTAAAATATTTACTGATTGAGAATGTGGTTCTGCTGAAGATTTTGAGCTTTTCAGCTGAAGTGAGGAAAGGTTGAAGGAAACCTCTGAGCTGACGACCTCGCCTTGACGAGGTAAAGTGCTGCGAGGGTCCTTCACTCATCAACAGCAGAAAGTTATGCAAACAGCTGCAAAACACAAAATATGACCAAGTATTTCAGTCAGATTTCTACTGCAAATATCTCAGTACACTTCAAATAAAACAAAAACTAACTCGAGCTTGTTTTAAGTCAATAATTTCTTAATCTAGATGTAAAACTATTAGTTGAAATAATCTGACAGGGGAAGAAGGCATGTCCCCATATTATGTATTATAATATATAATAGGAAAACAAGTTAAACACAACATTTTTCCCCTTAATAGTTGTGATATGTAAACATATTGTTGTGTCTAAGTTCATATATGTAAGTATATAAACTTAAAGTGTCTTGTTGCTCATATTTCTTGCAGAATACAAATATTTACCAAGACTAAAATACTTGGTGAGATTTTGTGTTTTTGCAATGTTGTATTTAACTCTCAAGTAAATACAATTTTAAACCTTGTACAGGTGTAACCAGATCGTTATAGAATCAGAAATCTCTTCTTTGTTGTTAGATTATATTATGCTCACTAAATCAGTTTCAGAAAAGTTTTCCTCTGCCAAACCAACAGGGGGCAGTAAAGAGCAAAGCTAAAACCTGTAAGCCAATCACATTGCTTCAAAACAAAGACGACTTCCTGTTAGGAATTAAACATGGTGATTAATTTGAGTGGGAAGATATACAAGTTTAACTACTTTTAAATAATGAATTAGAAATAAAAAGTCATTAAAAGCAAAACATCAAAGCAAGTATGTGGATATATTGGCGCATTATTTGGGCCAGTATGTCCACACGCATTTATTGAACACGCAGATAGAGTTTTTAAATCTCCTCTTAGGTTGGAGTTTTTTAAATTTACTAGTTTTTAGGGACATTAAATGGAGTTTTACTCATAAAAAATACATTATTTTCCTCAGATACTTATGAATCTGTTTTACCCGTCAGCAGGAACGTCTGATGCCTCCATCCAGAAACGTTACCAGCATGAAGCCAACCAGACGATGGTCCATCTTTCAGCTCTGCCCGCGGTCACAGTCCCACAGGAGATTTATGTTGGAACTTTTTTTTTTTTTGCAGAACTCCAGTTCCTGTCTTTTCGGCCCGGTGAGAAATGAGACGGAGCCTTTTCTGAGCCTCACCAGTAACCCCGAGATGAGTGCAGGGCCATTATCACCACATGTGGGTGAACTGCCTTAAAATGCCTTCCATACATCACATGGCGACGGGAACACAGAGGGCTGAAAGGCTGAGCTGCATCTTTCTGCCACAGCATAAACAGCTTTAAGGTTTTCCTTCTTGTTGCTTCTCGTTGCTAAGTTGGATGTTTCTCAGAAATTCTGCTAAAAATGGTTCAGTAAAAAGGCTATGTGTCGAGAGATTCTAAAAAACATCCCAAAAAACACAGAGTAATTCTTAAGCAAGTAAATTTGTGCTTTTCTGTGTCTGGAAAATGAGCCATTTAAAAAAAAACCTCCAGAGAGAAACATCATATATCAGCAGGCACGCCCCGTTACCTAGCAACCCGTTACCTAGCAACCCGTTACCTAGCAACCCCAGCGGAGCCCAGCCCGTTACCTAGCAACCCCAGCGGAGCCCAGCCTAGCAACCTGAGTTTAGTTCCAACTCATTTGATATTTCCGCTGTATGCGCTGTACAACGGCTGCTGGAAAAGACAAGTGTTTTGTTGTTGACTTACCATCCAGGAACCACTTAATGCATTCTTGTTGACAGTGCAGGAGGTTCCACTTTTGCTTTTCAAAGATGTACGGTTGTATCTATTTGCAGACATTTCATGTGTGAGTGTAAACACTGAGTCAGGGGGCGTGGCCATCAGCAACTTATTGGATTTAAAGTGACATACACACTAAAACCGCTCATTCTGAAACGTCTGACTTACTTTGTGCAACAAATGTATGAACATGTTTTATATTCATAATCTGTTCAAAGAAGCATAGAAGGTCACCTTTAAAGGGTTAGTCACTTCAGTAACCCCAACTCTGTTTCTATTAAAATGCTACAGAAAGCTACTGCTCTTTAATAAGTTGCTTTATCAGAACCATTTTGTCACTTTTTTGTTGTTTTTATTTATTTGTTTACGGCCCTGATGCTCGCTTCACCTGCAGATAACTGATTTGGGATGTTTAGCGCCCCTAGTGGTGGTTGTGTCAATGGAAAGTTCCAGCACCGTGGAAGGGACGCAGCTCCGCGTTTCCTGCTCATGTTCGGCTCATGTAAATCTGTAAGTCACTAAATTATGATGTTCAGTTTATTTCTTGATGAAATCTTTAGTCTATGGTTCTTAAACTGCGTTTAGCAAAGTTTACACGGAAGTACGCATGCTATCTTGTATTGAATTTCATGGAAATTAGCGTTAGCATGCTAGCACACCGGGCTACTAGTTTCTCATCGGTTTATATGTCAGTTAGCTTTAGCAGATATTGAAATAAAAGTAATAATAAAAATGAAATGATGGCTCCACAGGCTGTTCACTGTCTGTCTGCGGGTCTTGTGAGGATTGAACACTTTTAGAAAGTTAGCTAATGTTAGCTTCAGGGCCAGAGGCTTCTTAAAACCACAGCAGTTGTTATGCTAATGTTCAGGTAACGCTTTATGCTCTCTGCTTGCTGTTGTTTTGGTCCGGCGAGGCCCAAGAGGGAAGCAAGCAGCTGAACACAATAGGGCCAAACAAAGCTTAGCAGCTTTGCTAACAGCTTTAACCATTGCAGCGTTTAGGATTTAATTCAATGACTAACTTTCTTTCAACTTTATGAATGTCCAAAATAAAATTGGGATGTCTGTACAGCAGTGATTATTCCCTGTCTTCATATTCAGACAAAAAGCTCTTATCTCACCTCTATGACCATATTTCAATAGTCTGTGTTTTTAAACATTTTGAAACTAGTTAAACAGCCAAGGCACCGGTTTAGAAGAAAATTCAACAAATGAATGACAAAATTAAAGGATAGAATTAATAGAGAAATACTCCCTATCCTGTCTGACTGTTCATTTAAAGGGTACATTTATGTATCATTGCGCGTTTGGGAAGCTGTTTGTCTGCTAAATGCCTCAATACATCTTACCAAAGTTCTTAATTTGTTTGTTAAAAATAATCCAAAGTCACGTCCGATGATCCAGCAGCTTGTAGAACTGCCTGAATTTCAGCAGTTTGCTTCCCGGCGTTGCTCTGTGAAGGTCCCACCACAACATTTCTGACTTTGACTAGGCCCTTCCAGCATCTTGATTCTCATCTTTATCAACCATTTTGTTGTGGATTTTCTCCTGTTTTATGGGTCATTGACATGGTTTGAACCGAACTTCAGCTTTTTATATTTGACTCTTTCATGGTCCCTGAGCATGATTCCTCCTGCACTGTGCTCGATGTAAACAAGAGCTCTTCCAGACTACTTAGGCAGAAAAGTTGCTATTTAAGCAATAGATTTCCATAAAAGCAGAACTGTGCAGCAGTGTAGAGGAGCAGCTAAGCTGAGGGTCTGGGACATCATCATCAGCAGGACGGGAAATTATAATGACAAGCTTTGCTGCTTTAATTGGAAACTGCACACACGCTTTATGGTCTCTGATAATTGCATGCTGAATGCTACAAGGTTGTTCTCAATGTCAAACTGACGGCCGATGAATAAAATGACCTTAAGCTAACCAATATGATGGGGGTGATTAAAATGTATGTGCTGAGAAAACAGATGTGAAGCCTGAGAGGATGCGGAAAGGGTCGACGGCCTCAGCGTTTCAGTCAGTGTATCGGAGCTGACAGGCCTGTTGGCACACGCATTGCACTTATAGAGCCGTCTGATGCGTTTAGTGAAATTCCATCTCCGGTCGGAGCAGCGAGCTAATGCTAGGTGGGCGGGCTGGCAGTGCTTCTTAATGAGCAAGTTGGCATTTTAGAGACAGTGGCTAAATCAAACTTCGACTGGATCCGCAGAGGAGAGAAACTCTTCCACTTCTTGGATTTGAAACCAGTTTGCTTGAAAGAACAACCGTACTGTTGAGGTGGAGATAATAGCTGCATTTCAATCACAAAACTTAGTTAAAAAAAAACACAACTTCACAATTTCAGAGTTTTTAACACAATTAAAATCACATATGATAAGTTTATTTGCGTAATAAGTCATTGAAAAACACCTTATGTTTTGATCCTCTAACTATTTCCTGTCATCATCTTTGTAGTTTCTGTCAGTAGCAACATCCGGTTGTTCATGTGACTGTGATGTGAAAAGAGTTTCCTTTGCAGTTTTTCAAAGTAAACAAATTTTTATATGGCCAAAAATTATCACCTCGTTCTAGCGACAAAACCTTCCATAAAATAAGCGAGACTTTTTCTTAGTTTTTTTTTTTTTAATTGTCGTGTTTCTGTTAAACAAATTTATTTTTTAATTGTTTAGCTTTGTGTTGGTCTGTCATATTTTGACTCTGCCAAGACAATAAATAAATAAAATTAAGAGTCATATTATATTCTTGTTGAAATAATATCAAAATAAAGTGAAAAATTGTAACTTTATTCTCAAAATGTTATGGCTTTAGTCTTGTAATATGACTACTCGTAATCTAATTTTTGAAAAACATTTTTAGCATGGCCCTGATGAAATAAATTTTAGTTTCTATTTGTTAAAAAATAAACCAGATAATTTAAAGTCCAGGTAATTTGGTATTTCTGTATCTATCAGCTTAAATTCAGACAATCTGAGGTAAAAGTCATTGTAAAAAAGTTTTCAAAAATTTGAGCCACACTTATTTCAATCTTGTTTTTTCCAGTTTAATTATCAACAACTAGGAGATTTCTCTGCAAATCAAGTTTTTATTGGCTGATTTGTTTCAAGCAGCTCGTTCAATAACTGATAGAGGCCTCGTTTCAGGACTAATGCTTCCTGGGTGCTGGATCGACAGATGGGATGGACGAGCTCAAAGTGATGTTAATGCTGTTGTGTGGTATAAACGGCAGCAGTTAAGATTGCTGAAAGCATCAATTTGTCTGATTACTTCAGCTGCTGCTTTAACAAGGCGAGCTGTGAGTTTCCTTCTCTCCCCTTTGTTCTTTGAACAAACATATTGAGCTGAAGTTTGCTGATTGGAAAACGCAGCGTGATGCCGATATGAGGAAGGAAACAAGCTGATAAAAGAGCAGAAATAGCCTCACAACAATCCAGACAGCTTCTGAGAAAAGAATAGACTGATAAAGATGAGGACATGTCGGCTTATTTCCGATGGGAGTTGGACTCAGAGTTTGTCTTTCTGCTCTTAACCCTTCTTGGCCGAAGGTATCGGCGGCGACGCGGTCTAACCCCGTACCGTAATTCTGTGATACTTTGCGCTATCTGAAAAATCCCAACGGTTTCTGAAAGGGGAGACGTTGCGCTTTCCAGCCAATTAGTGATTGAACAGATCTGTGATTGATTACTAATTTAAACACCTGTGAGAGAGTTGGTTTATGGGCCTCGAGATTTAGCTGAACCAAGATGCACCGGATTCTGCAGCACGTCTACATGCTACGGTTGTCAAAATCAAGCTAGCATAGCTGATGTACTTCCATCGCTTTTTTTTCCTGTTTTAAATGTTTTTCCTGACCTTATCTGGTTGTTGTTTTGTTGACAATTGGCAGCAAATCACTGAATCCATTTTTCTTTCATATATGTCACACATTTAGGATTTAGTGTTGGCAGCTAAAACTGGTGGTACGAGCTTCACAATGTTGCTCGTACCACAGTGTCCACAGCGCATTTCATAATGCAAGCACTTATGAAACAAACAATAACCATTACATTTTGTTAAATACTATCATCAGCAGGCAAAAATAAGTTAATCAATGCTCTGTTTTCTACTGATCAAGAGCATTTCTAAAGATGGGTCTGTTGCCTTGATTTATAGGAAGTCAGTGTTTTGGATGTTTTGCAGTTTTCTGGAAGTTTGTGTGAGACCTCCAATTTGGCCCAGTTACTACAAATAAGCTGCTGGACACAAACTGGTGTGATGCAAAAAAAAAAAAAAAAAAATGTTTTCATTGGAGTTCAGCAAAAATAAAATTTTAATGTGGCTGAAAAAAAACACTTTTTAAAATTGGCAAATAAATTTCCAGAATTTTTTGGTGAATAGAAAAGGAGCTACTGTCTGCTTTAACTGGGTCGGCCAGCCACCCAACCAGCAGAGCTCGTTTGTACTGGGATCGTTGTTTTGGTCGTCTGGTGACCAAAGGTCCAGCAGAGCCTTTCAGCTCAGGTATTTCTGCTTTCTCAGAGCAACCAGACCTCGACTTCACCGCATGACGGACAGCAGCTGCGTAAAATTTTATCTGCATGCTAATTTTGACCCTTTTACTTGTCAAACCCTGTAAACGTTTCTATTTTCCTGACATTTGCACTAAATGTCACAACCTTATTTTCTAAATGAAGCTATTTTCTTGAAGCGAAAACAGAAAAAAAGTCAGAGATATATTTAGGGACGAGAGCAGCAGAGGAAATGTTCCCTTTCCTTAAACCGGTGTAATTATGTTGAAAGCAGCTGCTAAAGGTCAAAGACGAAAACGCCGTCGTGTCTTCGCCCCACCTCTCCGGCATCAGGTTTTCTGCTTCACAAAGGCCCAGGGGGCGCCGGCGTTCAGCAGGGCAGCAGGTGTATAAGCTGCAGTTATTTGTTGGACAATGAGGTGGAGGTGGTGAATCCATCACCGCACGCCGCTGACCTTTCCCTGATCTTTTGTACGGCGTTCAGCGGCGGCTTATTGCTCCGCTTCACTCGGGTTAATGACCTGTCAGCCTGAGTGATCCCTGAAGGCGGCGAGCTGTGACAGCGAACGAACACCAATCAGGAGGCAGAGCCGGGTCAGAACCGGCAGCTCAGACAGCGAGTAACGGCAGAACCCGGATCCCTGGCCGACCCGACTCAGAACAGAAACCTGGACCGAAACTTTGGTTCTGAAAATTAAAACATTTTGATCTAAAAAAATAATTATATACGTTTAGCAAAAAGCACATTTTTAATAAAATTTTAATCAAACATTTGAGATTAAATGTTTTAATCTAAGTTTTTTTTAAATAAAATGTTTTTAATCTAAAAATGTTTAAAATTTTATATTTAATTTTTTAAGATGAAAATTTTAAAGAATTTTCAATAAAAAAATTTACAGATCTTTTACAGGTGAGAAGCCTGTGAAATATACGACTCCTTATTACGGCCACTGTAGATGCATAAACAAAAAGGAGCAAATTTCCACCAGGATTCTCAGAAAATTTTAGATTAATTTCAAAAATTTTCTAGAAAAAAAACAAGAAAATCTGAATTCAAAAGTCAGTCATTTGCTGGAAAAAACATGGACATTTCTGAGTTTGAAAGTAAAAAAGTGTTCAACTTTTGGAACCTTTGGAAATTTCAGACATTTTTTTTCAAGCGCAATTTTGACTTTTGAAACTCAGAAGTGTCCATATTTTTTATTTCTGAGATGAATCTAAGAAATCAGTTTGTTCTAAAAAAAAAAAAAAATCGGACTTCCCAAACTTGTAAATTTTCTTCTTTTTTTAAGATGATTTTTTAAAATCTTTTTTTTTTTTTAAAGGTTAATTTTTTCCGAGCAAATTTTCCACATTTAACTTGAGAAATTTCCAATAATTTTCCAATGACATTTATGTGTCTAATCTCAAAATTTCTTAGCTTTTGGCAGAATTTTTTGGGGAAATGTACTTTGGCAATCCTGTTTTGCTTTTGTCACCTAAAAGTTATCAAACAATTTTACTGAAGTAAGAGTTGGAAGAATTTGTCAGAAAAGGCGACTGAAGTATTTAGTAGTGATTTAATATTATTAAAGTAACGTCACATCTTGCTGTTTGTCCTCTTGTCGAGGTGATGCTGCCATTTTGTGCCGTTTTATTTCTTGTAGTTTTAGCACCATTTTGTTGCAGCTTTAAACGAGCGTCATGCTGACAATTCACCTCACAAAAATCTATTTTCCTTCATGTCTTGAACCTCATTTTCGGGACTCAGATAAGATTTGTGTTTTTTATTTAAGCTTCTGTCTGTTCTGTTAATCCCGGCTTCTCTTTTTTACTAAATAATGTGAATCCGAGCAGCAGCTCGTTGCAGAGCAGCTTTAAAAGTTGCTGCCGGGTCCAGCAGGATGAATAGCCGAGGTCTGCAGAGTCGTGTGTTTTATTTAAAGTTGCTGCGCTGCAAAACCAGGACATTTTTGAGAAATGGCTGACGCGCTAACTCCTTAAACTCTGGGGTGAACAAAAATAATCAATTTTTACAATATTTAACTCTTGGTGTAAAAGAAATTCAAAAATTTACAGACTAAAAAGAAGTCTTTGATCTTATTGTTTTATTTACGATTTTAAATATTTGTATTTTGTGGAAATAAAAGTAATGTATTTTGCTTAATTTTTTATGAATAGATTATTTTAGAAAGCATTTCACAATTGTAAAACTTTTATTTAAATGTAAAGTTACATCTACTTTACTAATCCTGCAGATAGTGACTCATTTAGAGCTCGGTTCTGGTTCTGCAGAGCCGGAACCAGAACCAGGTTTCTTCCTGTTAAAGGGTTAGAGTTTTTTCTCTCCACTGTCGCCACATGCATCCTCAGAATGAGGGATGGATCAACGCCAACGCAGGCCACTTTCTGTCTCTGGGATTAAATTCTGCAATAACTCGTTATAATTTGCTGCCTTCCTTATGGAAACATTTTAAATAATCTGAATGATAAATTAAGATTTTTGTGAATTAACGCTGCATGAATAAATTGATGTCATCTCATGATAGATTTATTTTATTTTGCCATGGAATAAATTTGCTCTAAGTTTGCTCTGTGATCTTGAGCTACAGGAATAAAAGATGGATTTATATGCAGCTCCAGTACAGTGGAGGCTGCTGTATTATGATGTAGGTTTTGCAGAAACAAACCATTACACACACACACACGCAATTATTCATCAACGGTATCTCTGCACACACTCTGCAGCAGCTTTTATACACCCACTCTCACCGATAAGCAAATCTGGGACATTAATGGGAGACAAACCTTCCCAAGGACCGTTTCCCCAAGTTGTGCAGGAAGGATTCAAGCTGAGATAAGAAGGGGTAAACTTTTTATTTTTTTTTTCCCTCTGTGCACAGAGTCTTACCAAAATACAGACACAAAACGTCAAACAGCAGAAACAGTGCAAGGCGCTGGCTGAGTCAGCAGCAGACGAGGTGACACGGTGGAAACTGCTGCATCTCCGTTTTGATAACCAGCCAACAGAAGCGCTGAAGCTTTCATCTGGGGACCTTGTCAGGGTGGAGTAATGTGCTGGAGCTTCCCAATCCCAGCTCTGCTTCCCTAAGACAGTCGAAGAGGGAAACTAATCCATCTTCATTGGTTCACAGCTGCAGTGCAGCATGCAAACCTCTGCAGGGGAATACACCAGCTCCACGCATGCATGCAAAACGCCCGGCGAACGCGCTGAGCTGGGCAAAACCTGGGTCCATGAAGCTACCAAACCAGGTGAATGCATAACATTACTGTAGATGATTACTGTGGCTCTGATCAGGTTACCGTATCAACGACTGAATCAGCTGAAAAATAAACACGTTTGATGCATAAAGGATTAATATGGGGATAAAACATTTTTACATCCTCAGCACATTTCAGCAACAAGACAAGTCAAAGTTTTACATCAGAAAAATAAAACAAAAATCTATTTAAAAACCTGCAAGCAGTTATTAGTTACTTTTACTTGAGTAATTTCTAGAAAACAAATAAATTTGGAGTATTTTTATTACACTGTATTTTTTACTTGGCCTATAATTGATCCTCTCAATCAGTGAGTAACTTAATGAAATTAAATTAACCAAAACCTCACCAGACTCAGACTCACCTACACTTTTTGTCAAAGTTTCAAAAGTCTTTCAAGAAATACCTGGATTTTTTTCTTTTGATTTTATTTATTTAAATTATTTCATTTTGGTCCATAAAATACCCCAAATTTCCACAGAACTTTACATTTGGTCTGTTGGATGATGCAATTTTTAAATATTAAATGATTTGATTAGTTACTCAGTACTTCAGTAGACTTTTTTACCAAATATTTATTGTCGTTTTTGGGTGAATACTTTTAGTTGAGTGAAAATATGTTGAAGGTAGTGCTACTTTTACTTGAGTGTAACTTTGGGTACTTTTCCAACCTCTGGCAGTAACAAACATTACATTTGGCTGAGTGTCATCATCAGAACACATTGAATATATTGGTCAATGTTCAAATTATTATTAAAGTTAGCCGCTAGCACGTGGAGGTTAGCCGTTAGCGTGGAGGTTAGCTGATAGCATGTAACATCTAGCATATTGAGGTTAGCAGGTAGCATGTTGAGGTCAGCTGCTGCATGTATAGATTAGCAGCTAGCATGTTGAGTTAGCCTGAACCAAGTAGAGGTTAGCAGCTAGCATGTACAGGTTAGCTATTAGCATGTAAAGGTTAGCAGCTAGAGGTTAGTAGCTAATAAGTAGAGGTTTGGTCTAGTTTGTGATATTTACTTTAGAGCTAAATATTTAGCTTCAAGTTAAAGTCAAACATCTGAAGCTCAAAATGATTTTAATGAAGATTCAGCATCAAATATTTTACTTTTTATTAAAGCATCAGATATAGAAAACTGAACTGATTCGTTTCTGCAACTATGTTTTTCGACTTTCATTCCATCAGGGCAGATTTTTCCCAATTTTCCTCACCTCTCGCTACAGATGCATCCCATTCAGCTGAGGAGCGAGCGTTATTTTCTGAGAGATGAAATATTGTCACATTAGGATAGATGGGGTGAGAAAATGTGGCTGGGTTGTTCACATAGAGTATATTAGAGCATCGTAATGACTAAAGCAGATGGTGTTGACAGGATTAATTCTCCTTTTTTTGCCTTTTTTGAGGAATCCAGCCTGGCTGTCTGACAGCTCTTACAGCCCAGATTTATGTTGGCTTCGCTGCTATCTGCTGCAGAGGGAACCCTGAAGGATAAGACATACTGTCCAAATTTAAAGCAGTGTATATGAGGTGATAGATTGCTTGCATATTAAGTTGAACTGCTAAATAAATCACCTTCCTCTGGTTTTTGGCAAATCAGTGCTCTTGTATTTTGTTTGTGAATAACGTAGAGAATAATTCAATTCAAGCTGCTGTAATAAAGAAAACACATGGAAATTAGTTGTTTTGTGATCTTTCCAGAGGAGATATGATCATATATCAGTGTTTAACTGACATATTCTCATGTTTTCTGTCTATTTAGCAAAAATCTCAATTTTTATAGTAACAGAAACACAAACAAAGGCTGTTTGTGTTCAAGTTGCATTATTGTTCCAATTACACATTTTAGAGCGTGATAAAAATCAGAACATCAAGACCAGGGTTTGTTTTCTTGCAACTTTTGGCTCTTAAAAACTTTTGCTAAAATGACAAAGAACAAATTAATGTTTAAATATAGATATAACAAAGAAATGGTGGCTTCAGCTGTTTATCGGATTTCTGCACCAGAATAACACTAATAGTAGCAAGAATAAATCTGTTTTTCTTTCTAACTAATCGCCTTAATTTTGTAATAAACTTTCAAATAATCAAAAATAAATACAAAATAATTGGAATTTTTTTTAATGTTTTTTTTTTTTTACATTTAATTCATTCTAACGGATTAGCTGCTACATGCTAGCAGGTAAGATTACCTGCTACATGCTAGCAGGTAATCTTACAAGTAGCTGCTAGCAAGTAGCTGTTAGCTACTTGCTAGCAGCTAACATCTACTTGCCAGCTGTTAACCTCTACATGCTAGTTGCTAATATATACATCTCATCGGCTAACCTGTACTTGCTAGCAGCTAACCTGCAAGCGTTACTAGCTTACTTTCAGAATAAATATTAATGTCTAAACCTTTTTTTTTAAAATTGCATCCTTGCATAATTAAATGGATTTAATTTGTTAAATTGCGAAATACATAATTTCTTTTCTTATAATATATCAACAAAACCTCAAACCCTTTGCAGAAAGTCTCCACTTTGGCTGAAATAACTAATGAGAAGTTTTCTGTAACTTTCAGTTTTTTTCTGGAATCTTTTTGATACAAACAGATCAACAAACATGCAAAGATTACAAAACATCCCATTTTTTCCGGTTATCAGCCCACTTTCATGTGTAATTTCTCCTGATGTTTTCCAGGAAAGGCAGCTTAGTCACATTTTATTCAACTTCATCTCCGGTTTGTTTTTCAGACTCACCAGTTTGTCCTTGAATCAAATCCATTCAAAGCAATAAGGTTTTCTCTTTAAAGGGAAAATGTTGGCCTTTCCTGGAGAACACGTTGCATCACCTGCCTGAAACCTGAGGGCGAAAGCTTTCTGTGTCTATTGAGCATATTAAGCACGTCTTTAAGGTCCCTATGTTTATGGAAATCAAAGGAAAGGTGGCATGCAGGTGAGGCAGACATCAGGAATCGTCATTTTTACGGAGGAGCCCTAATTAGACGGCAGGCTGGACGCGGCCCGGACCGATCAATGTGCCCGGCGCTGAGCGCGGCGTGGGAGGAAGGTGGTGGGACATGAAAAGGAAAACATTGATGATGTTTTTCTTTTAAAAATAAAACGGCTGTCTTGTCTGTTGAGACCGAAGGACGGAGAGATCGAAACCTCCAGCAGTGAATAAACTGACCGCAGGGAGTAAAAAACACGGCTAAATACCAGGCAGGACATGAAAAACATAGTTTTACATCCACTCCTCAAAGGCAACTGATGTGGTTCATTTTAAGCTTTCACTTCTTAATTTGAATAATTTTACCAGCTGATACTGAATACCAGGCCAGGGGTGTTCAAAGTGTGGTATGTGGGCCATTTGTGGCTCCTTGACTGGTTTTATTTGTGACCCCAGCTGCAGTTCATCACTGCAGGAACACAAAATCTTACCAAGTAGTTTAGCTTGCAGTTTTGTTCATGTTCGGTTTCCCTTCATCTGAGGACCAGTTTGGATCAAACAGATCCGACAGAAACTGATGATCCAGGAGGAAAAGCTGATTTTCTTTCATCACCTCACCTGCTTCCTGCTAACCTGCTGCTTTCTAAATCCCAGTTTCCTGCTTTGTCCCCCAAGTTGTTTGTTCAGTGTTTCTGTGCTTCAGATTTACATTTTTACATCTGAATCCATGCAGACTCCGCCCCACTGATTCCTGCACTCTCTTCCAGTTTGACACTTTCAGATGGTTGTTGATTTTACTCCTCCAGGCTTTTTTCTGAATACAGGAATTTGCACATATTATTGGAAAATCCTGTTTATTATTTATTGGAAAATGATAAACAGGAGAATAACGCAGATGACTGAAATTAGCGCTGTGTTGCGTTTAAGGACACTATTTTGTTTGTGTGCATCTAAAGGTGCATTCATGGACATGAATACCCTGACAGATGATGGACGGACTTACAACATAATATTATGGGTCTATGGAGGACTGATCCTGCCAACATTGGCAACTTAAATAGAAAGTTGTATCAACTGAGAAATTTTTTTCCAAATTAACTTTTATGTTTTAACTGGTAATTTCCAGTTTTAAATATTTTTTTTCTATAAAACTGCACAGAACCTCTCAGTGATCACAAACAAACTTCTTAGAAAATGAATGAAGGTTAGAAATTCATCTCAGAACATTTTCAGGTCTTTTTTATTTCGTGCTTTTATCCGTGTCGTCGCAGCGTTGCTTCGACTCTCAGCGGCTCCGTGTCGGATTTCTGCGTTTTGAAAAAGAGGACGAAGCTTCAGGTCAAGTGAAATCGCCCTCACAATAACGAACCACAAAGATCTGCTAAGAGTTCAGATCATTTCAATTTCAGCATCGCTTTGATATGTGATCGTTGAAAATTGCTTTTGTGAAAGAAGCAGAAAGTAATAACAGAAATATTTCAGCAAAGAGACATAAATGATTTTTCTTCAATAACTTTCATTCCAATTTAGCTGCAATTTCCAGGCTTAGCTTGAATCACATCTAAACAATTTGGTCTGAGCTTATTGAGATAAGGTTGCATTGATTATGCATTAAATATAAAAGAAAGGTAAAAAGGAAATGGAAATCAGTTTCAGATCTCATAGGAAAACAATCATGCTTAGCTAAACTCACTGCTTTTTCTGCACCTTTGTGATCTTAGATTTTGTTTTGTCATTTCGTCCATATTGACATTTTTTTAACATCCACGAAAAACACAACCAGAGCAGTGATTAAGAGAAAACTGCATAAAACGAGACATTTTAGATTAAAGATTCTATTTTCTATCCAGTTTCACCTTCATCTGCTTCAAATTCTGGAAAATCAGCTAGAAACAGCCATTAATGGACCCTGTGCTGCTCTCTCGTTTTATTTAGCTGCATCATGTTGTACAAATGATCATATTTAGGCAAAAAATAATTTTAAATAATTTTATTTTAAAAAAGTATCTTTTTACATGTTTGTTGAAACTATCACCACTTATGATGTTATGGGACAGATAATCTT